GGCCAGGCCAAGGGACTAGTGCCTCAGTCCTAGGAGAATCAAGACCTAGAGAGAGAATGTATTGCCCAATGGATGGGATAAGTGGCCAGGTTCTCTGGAGGAGTTCCAGAGACTCCCTGGTGTCTCCACTTCTAGATGCTGACTCCCTGTATCAGAGGAGATGGATGGTGTTGTCTGGAAGAATGGCAATGGCAAGTGTGGTCTTATGGATTGGTGGCCTCACACAGGCCTCCTGGGTTTAAGCATCAACTGTTGGGTTGATTAAGGGTTGTCAAGGGATGTCCAATCAAGGCAGAACCTTAAGCACAATAAGTATTGCAGTACATTGGAAGCCCGAAATAAACTTCCACCAGGCCCCAGGAGGGCAGGCTGAAGCTTTTAAGCCTCAGGTCAAGGATGGAGCTTGGGAGCAGGCATGGAATGAGGGATGCAGCAAGGAAGTCAGCAAACCTTAAACAGAGAGTAGAAGTTAGGCTTCTGGGGATTTTTGACCTAATCATGCCCTTAAATGCACAGGGTTTGTTGCAGCCGATTTCTCAGTATTGCAGGGGAGGCAAATAAGCCTGTGTTTTGTCACAACCCTCTAATCCCAAAAGTCTTGGGGGCTGAAGTGAAAGCATGGCCACTACTATCCCAGACAGATGGTTTCAGCCTCTTAGCAAGTCTGTGTCTTAAAATTAAAATAAATTAAAAAGGCCTGAGGATGAATTTCAGTGAAAAAGCCCTGGATTCAGTGACTCTGAGCTGCGATGGCCAGTACAGGAGAAATACAATACAATAGAACACAATACAATACAATACAACAAAAAACAAAACCTCTGAATAACTAAACTGTCATGCAGAATTTTAACAAAACCCCTGAGCTTCAGCCCTCTTGTCAGCCCTGAGTCTCTGGGTACCACTGGAGGAATTAGGTGCCCACAGATGTCTTCCTAAAGAATATAGAGGTGGTTAGGCCTTTGTTTTATGTCAACAGCATCATGTTTTCTGAGAAGGAATTCCAGTTTCTGAGGACCTGACTGGGTCCAAGTAGGTACCTTGAATGGATTTTTAAGGTTATGCCACCCCAAAACAGGGAGTGAACCACAGTATATAGGACCTGTGGTCTGTTCAGGATGTACCCAGCTTAAAATGTTTCAAAAATTCCATTAGGGATATGTGAGGAAGTTGAAGCCTTTCCTGACGATAGACAAGCAGTGGCATATTTACAGCCACTTTCCAATATGATTGGTGCATGTGAGGGTTGTGAGAACATGAGCAGCTGACAGAGGAGGATCCCAAAACCTCTTCCCTTGCTGTCAACTTTGGGAGACCAAGAGGACAGATAACAGCCTGAGGAGAACTCTTTTCTCCTTCTGACATCATAAGGAAATGTAGGTTTGTTTAGAGTATGCAACTGGATTCTATCAGGTTCACAGAAGTAGTGCAGGCTTTCCAGAGGTTTCAGAAAAAATATGCCAGGTGGATAAATCTCAGACCTGTGAGGGTGCAGGGACCCTAAATGAAGATCATCTGGACCACACACTCTGAAATAAAGGACCGTGCTGAGCCACTACACAAACCTTTTGGTCAATTCTGGGGAGAACATGGGACAGTCACAAACAGTTCAGATAATATCATGTTGTCCTTGTTTTTCTATTTTTTAAAAAAAAAAATTAGAGCAGTAATGGCTTCAATCTGCGAGAACATGACCAGATCATCAGGCAGAATTCTTAGGTGCTTTAGGGAGTGGAGGTGAGAAACCTGAGTTAGTAGTGAGAGAGCCACTCAGCTCAGAACAAAGGCGGCCCTGCCATGTGCATCTGGGTTGTCCATCATGGGAAGCTAAACTGCAAATATGTAATATCCCATCAGTTCCTCCTAGGTGTGTTTTAGGAGAAGGAGAATTTTTAGAAGGAGAGGATAGCAGGTCAGCAAGTTATGAGTCATACAAGAGCAGGCACTAATGTGTAGACACTGAGTAAAGACTAAGCATCTATTTATGATAGTATATTTGGAGCTCTCATAACTCTCCTATGGCTCTGCATTAGTCCATTGAAAACTACTGGCAGGAATAGTAAGAATTCTTATGATCTCATTTGATTTTCATGCTTCTCAGGAAAGTCTTTGTATCAAAGGTGCCTCAGGTCAACATAAAGTAAGTGCATAACGGTTTCTCAAAGGTGAGATGAGTTCAAATACCAAAGCTATGATCCACCTTGGTTCAAAAGGGATTAAAAAACTCCACTTTCCGCTATCAGTTCATGGCGTCTCAGGCAGGCATCAGCTGAAGAAGGATTTCTTCTTTTCCTTCCCAGGCTTCCTGTGTAGGGCCCGTGTCATGTCAGGTCAGCAGAAGAATGAGTGGGAAAGCCTATCAGTATCACACTGGGACCCTGAACAGGTGTGAGGAATCTACCTACTCTTATGTATTGGTCTTCCCTTTGGCGTGAAGTCTGGTAAACCAGATATGGTAGATATGTGAGATATCTTATCCCTCTTTTCCTAGTTGTCTCATGAATGTGAGGCCATTTTCTGGCAAGAAGTGATGACAGTTATCAGAATTAGGGACTGTAATTCAGTGTTGAAGGATGAAACACTAAGAGCCCAGGGAAGCAGCATTTTAGAAGGTGGGGTCTGATCATTGCCCTGCATGTTGTGCTTGGAGCTGCTGAAAGCTCAGGGCAAGCCAGTCAGGCTGTGCTGTCTTTGTACTTCATGCAAAATAAATGTAAGTTTATAATGTTTTGTGTTCAAAAAAGTGACATCCCAGTGGTACCTCAATTTAAGAGCTTACTTTATTTTGTAATTTTATGGAAGATAGCTGCATTTGTGTTTATGAGAGGAAGACGAAGACAGTAGTGATCATTTTGCATTTGATGCTAAGTTTCTGAAAGTAAGCAAACATTGGATGAATTCTTTTGTTTGTGAAACCAACTGTTTCAAACAGAAGTTTTCATGAATGGAAATATTAGTGTACATTTGCAAAAGTTGCGATACTGAAGGAAAGTCACAAAATGAGGGTAATAGGAAATACACCTCAGAACAAAGTGCTCCTGATGGAATTCAATGTTGCCATAGAACTTGGAAAATGGAGACAAATATGGCTAAATGTGAAGTGCCTGACTTCCCTAAGGGTCATAATGACACAAGAAACTAGGAAAAGTCATCAACCTCAGTTTCAAGGACAGAAGGTATATCACATATTGCAAAGAGGTGTAGTGTTGACCTTGTCAGAGCAAAGGAATGATCACCCTCCCAGAAAAAAAAAAAATGAGAATCGATGTATTTGCCAGAATCTCCTATTCATTCCATTACAAAATCCAGACATGAATGGTCAAAAGTCCTACCAGCTCACTCCATGCAATGGTGTTTCAGGGAAGTGCCAGTGTGGATATGAATGTTGCATGTTTAGAGTCCAATGTATACGGTGCCAAGGAAATTTGAAGTATGTATGTTGAGACATGTAATAGGGACTGAAAAGCATCCCCTACAGGCATAGGATTACCATGTACCCTGACAATTTTATCAAGCCAGGGAACCATACACAGCTTTTGCCTGAAGAACTTTCCACAGTTTTACTTGTGGTGATGTTTCAGGCAGGATTATTTGTCACATTGTGAGATTGTGGTGACACAAAGAAAGTTAAATAGATTACTCAGAGTGGAGACTTAATTCAGTCATCAAGGAGGCCAGAGGAGCTGTCTCAACCAAGAGCATTCACTAAGAGAGACTCCTAGGAGTAGCACTGAAGCTGAGGACTCTCAGGTTTTATTTAGGACCTTAGTGTAAGGGGAAAAAAACAGAAGAAAAGCTATTTGGGTAAGCAGCTGTCTCAAGGCCCAGTGGTTTTCTTGGGGAAAGGGTAAGGATAATGGCCAGACAGGGCATGCCTCACCAGCCTAAACTTCCTGCTTTTTAACCATTGATGCCTCTCATGACCTGCAAACTCTTGTTTTCAGTTTAACCATTCGCTGGCTGGCTAAGACCCCCACAACTGTCCTTGATCCATAAGCCTGTTTCATATCACATTACCAAGTGAAAATCTGTAGATGTTTTCAGTGGTTCTGTTAGGGCCTTTAAAGCATATCCTTGAGTCTCTGTAGATCAAAATGTTCTCTGCCATGTAGCCCTTGAAATTATTCCAGGGAAGTGCCAGTGGTGATGGATACACAGTGTCCTTCCTCACTTTATTCACACGCAAGTAAGCTGGAGACCAGTTTTGCAATAGAGGATGTGGACTTGCTTGCAGATGGTTGGGTCTAACAATCCACTGGAAGCTACCGTTGGAAGTATAAATGATAACTACAAACGATTTGGATTCCCTTCAGATTCCCATCAAATCAATCCCAGCATTATTTTCAATCATGAGACTGAATGGGAAAGGGTTTGATGGACAGAAGACACCTCACCAAATCATCTCATATCAGGGAGGTCACCAAAATAGTCAGAGAATTAAAAATAAATACATTGAGTGTTCATTGCTCCTGCCTGGTTACAAAGCATATCATCTACATAATATACCACAATCCTGAGTAGTGAAGTGGAGGTGATACAGAGCCCCACACAGCTGTCTCCTGTGATCACTGAGGATTCCCAAGTTGAGTTTCTGGCCATGCCCTGTGTAGAATTGTTACATTTTCCTTCAGGTATTTGGGGGAAATGGAAACTGGGAGCATGAGATCCCAGAAAGGCTTTAGAGCACTATTTTTCAGGTAAGGTCTTTTGGTAGCAGCTATTATCAGAGTTACAATAGTCAAATATTAATGCTGAGGACACTGACATTCTTCATTTCTTCTTTTCTCCCTTATGTAGTGATTCTTCCCTGTCCACTCTCATCAGCTTTCTTTCCTCTGCCATAAACTCACATCATTACGTCTCAGTATCAGGCAAACTGAGAATGCCTATAAGGCGAAGACCTTCAGACATGCAGTGAAACTAAAAGGCCTAATATTGCACAGTTCTGCAAAGATGAGGAGGAGTAATTTCTCTCCTCATCCAATCCCCTTGTGCATAGAACCATGAAGGAGGCTCCTCTAGCTGAGACACCCAGTTCTTCCAAGGATATTCAGCATTCCTTTTTTTCTTCCAGCAATTCTGTGCAGGGTGCCAGTAGCCAAGAAAATGATCAGATATGCACAAAACAGTCTGCTGTGGTCCCTGGGAATGCTCCCCATAATGCTCTGGAAGAGAAAGCAGCTTTGCTAGTGGGTTTCATGCTGCTCGAATATCAAATGAAACAGCCAATAACGAAAGAAAATATGTTGGAAGTTATCATGCAAAAGGATGAGGCACACTTCACCAAGATCCTTCTGCAGGCCTGCCAGAGCATGGAGATGGTATTTGGCTTACATGTGAAGGGACTGGATCCAATTAACCACTGCTATGTGATCTTCATCGAGCTTGGCCTCACTTATGATGCGATGCAGAGTGATGAAGGCCACATGCCCAAGACTGGCTTCTTGATATGTCTACTAGTTTTTATCTTCATAAAGGGCAACCATGTCTCTGAAGAGAAGATCTGGAAAGCACTGAATCTGACAGGGAGGTATCCTGGGAAGGATCACTTTCTGTTTGAGGATCTCAGGGAGATCATCACCAAAGAATCTGTGAAGGAAAAGTTTGTGGATTACCAGCCAGTGGCCAACAGCGATCCTCTGTCGTATGAATTCCTGTGAGGTCCAAGAACCTATGCTAAAACAAAAAAGATGGAAGTCCTGGAGTTTATGTTGAAAATTCTGGGAATTGACTCATGTGATTTCCCAGTTAAATATGTAGAGGCTGCGCTGGAGGATATAGACAGAGTGCTAGCCAGTATTTCCCTTAGGGCTGCCTCCAGATCCAGGTCCACTGGAAGGCACCGTGCTGTGGGCAGTAGTTCCTCCCATCCCGAGTCACAGGAGAGGTAGGTTGCTCACTTATTGTTCCAAGAGTAGCTAGTTTATTCCAAGTGCAGGCTATTATTGAAAGAATGTAGGTACCAGTAGTGGGAAGTGTCTGACAGGACAACAGAATATATCATTTGTATGTCACTTTTTAATGTATGATTTCACAATTTATTGATTCATTTTTTGAAGGTTGTAGTTTTCAGTAAGATTTATTTCATTTCATATGGATTTAGTTGGAATATCTTTAATTTTTAAATACTATTCACAAATAATGCCATTTATAAGGTTAACTAATATGGTCATTTCTATATGATAAAACAAATTTTAGAAGAATCAATTTTGTGATGTCATGTGGAATAAAAACATTGAATTTACATAAACATGTCTTCAGAAATTTAAAGGACTCACTCAATGCACCTGGTGTGAAATGAAAGAAACTCTAAAAGTTATTAACTTTTCTTATTCCTTTTAGTCTCTTGTTCTATAAAATTAAAAGACTTTTACATGGCTTTGTATAGCTCATTTCTAGTTTATGAGAAATAAATCTTAATGAATTATCTTATGTGCTTACTAATTCATCATTTTCCAAACCTGAATTGCATACCAGCTCATGAGAAACCACTGCACTGCTGCCGGGGATCATAGGGTCAATGGCACTGAGGAGTCACTTGGAGAGTTTTAGTTAAGAATAGTAGTCTTAGAGAGATGCAGACAGATATTCTAATAGCAAAAACCAAATAACAAGAGGTGTGGGAAGAAGGAGGAGGACAAGTCCATGTCAGGTTCTGCTTCAGTGTTTTCTTATAAGCATTCATTTGAAACACCTCAATTTCTTTAAAATAACTTGTTTTAGTTGAAGCTGGACTGTGTGTCAGGTGAGGATGAAAGCAGGTGGAACAGGGACTGCCCTCTCAAAATGTGTCTCTCAGATCCTAATTCCTAAAGCTTGTGATGAAAATTGCTTATCCATGCTATGTAGTCATCACAGGCAATTATGAAAGGATCCTCATGTATACCACAAATGATAGACATTCTCCTGGCTTCTTCAAAACAGTTGATCACTACACAAATGAAATATTTTATTCATATCTTCTCCAAGGATATTTTGAGGAATAAAAATACTAAATATCAAGTGTGCGTGGGGGGGATGCATTTCCATGGTAAGCTAGAAGAGGCAATGCTCATTTCATTGAAAGCAATTGTTTGTGGGGGGTGGTATTGAGTAGTGAACCCAAGGCCTTCACACTATGATATCTTCAGCCATTTTAAACTTATTTTTGAGTCAGGATCTGGCCAAATTTTTACTTTGCAGAGGGTGTGTTAGAACATATCCTCTGAATACAGTCTCTCAGTGTGTTGAGATTACAAGTGTACTTTTCCACATCCCATTGAAAAGGAACTTTTAAGTAGATTGTCTTGCATGTAATTGTCAAGCACTAAAAAAGGGCAAGCATTTGTTGGAGGGGTGAAATGCATAAAAATAGGATTTAGATTAGAGGGCAATTTTGAGCAATGGAAGAAGCTTGAATTTCTGCAAGTTTTGCTACTGAAGATGGAAGCTTTAAATCTACAATGTTCAACCTTGAGGGAAAAGCAGTATAATCTTACTTTCTGAGGATAATTTTTGTCTGGTAGCCCATAATGCACAGCATTTTATTTTCTGAGAAGATTCGTATTTAGATCATACCCAGATAAAAGTAGAATTGAAGTCAACATAAAGCAATAACTGCTCTTCAGCAAAAACTGAAAATAAGTTAGGAAGTTTTCCATCTTGTTCACTTACGTTACATAGTCCTAGAAGATAGGAATTACCTAAGTACACCCTGCTCACAGTGTTTGTCATTGTGTCTTGCTGCACATACCTGCTTCATCAACACTGGGACTAAACTCTTGATTGAGTTAATCTAGAATTGACTCATGCACCTGGAATTGCACCACTGTCTCTGAACTGGTTGTTATTGCCACAAACATTTAATGACCCTCAGGATAGGAAAGGAAACATCCTGTGACCAATGAACTTAAAGCAGAATTAAAGACAGAACGTTTAAATAAGATGCAAACACATCTTCAGGATTCTCAGGGATTCATTTGGCCAGAGTAAAACTTCCCTATCTGACAAGATTTCTCGAGAACTGCCTGGGTCTCCATGCTGATACTTTGCCTACTCCTCATGTTACAGCACAATTCTGCTGGCTATTTACAGTGTGTCCTCTTATTCATACTGGGATCTTACAGGCTGGCCTTTAGCATCTCCTCCTGTGAAGGCTACATCCTGTCCTCCTGGGAAGAAATTGTAGAATCTCCTGCCCTCCCCCTTCCATAGAGCACTGCCACTCCTTGTCAGCCTCATTCCTCATACTGCTATTCTTCTGGTGGCAACTCACATTCCAGTTAGAAGATAAATATTACAGTGAATATATAAATATTACAGTGAAATTCCAGTACGACTATACTCTTGGGAGCCTCAACCACATTTGATGAATTGTTTTCCCAAAAGTTTGTGAGAATAGTCTCTTTTGCTATATCATACCTTGAGAGGTCTAATATTGAAGTTGGAGAAAGTGAATGGAAGTCACAGTGACATTACAGTGGAATTTTTCATAAGCTGGTATGCTAGGAACTGGTTACTGATCACACGGATCTGTGATGAAGCTTACTGTGCAGTCAAACACAAAAAAATCAGCTGAGTATCACATATATGTCACCTGCATGGAGTTTCCCAAGAGAAGGATGTCTCCTGAGGTTCCAGAACTAAAATCTGCAGGTGTGAGCGTAACATGCCTAGGCCATTTCAAAGAAAGTGAAATAGATTCTCCTCATTGAATTTGGAAGACAATAAGCAAGAGCAATATTTTCACAGGGAATATAAAGAATAACAAAAGATGAGTTGGAAAAACTATCCTAATTTCTTAAACCCTAGGTAAGGTAAAGAACATGAAATTCACTGGGTAACAAACCTCATATAGATGTTTTTGTAAACTTACTCAAGTTTTTCATGTGGTGAATCCTGTTTTATTGGCAGATATGATGTCTCTGCTTAGCAAAGACAGCAAAAATTTGACATATTTCCACTATATCTTTTCTGACTTACAACCAAGGGAGAAAATTCCGACTTTCTTTTTCCTCTTTTCTATGGACACAGCAGATTTTCAGGTAGTTTCCTCATCATGAAGGCGGTAGAAACTGAGATTTTGATAACAAACCAGTAGGATGTAGAAAATTGTCCCCCTCTTGATATGGTAGAAATTATCATATAGCTATGTGTAGAAACATATTCACATGTTTTGTGTCTAAACCATAGCACAAAAGCCTACTGATAGGATTGTGGGGATTACTGTGGCCCACAATCAATGGAGCCAGCTAATCATGAACTTAAATCTCTGAAACCATGAACCAAAGGACATCTTTCCTCCTCCAAATTTGTTTTCTCATGAATTTGGTCTCAGTGACAATAACTTTACTAATACAGGTATTATTGGATCCAGACTGCAACATATCAGGTGTCATAATGCATGCCTGGCATCCCAGGAATCACTTAGGCTGAAGAACATGAATGTAAACTCATCCCAAATCACAGAACAATTTAGACAGACCCTATCTGAAAATTATAAGATAAATTAAAAATTAGAAACATTTTTACAGGTAGCTCTTTGTAATGATCCTGGATTCAATGCCCAACATAAAAAAATGTATATTGATTTCAATTCTCAGACTGAATTACAGGATTATTTAAAAATTTGATGAGAGCTTGTGTTTGGAGATCATGCCCAAAATGGAAAGACACAACATGACAGGCTCTTTTTAAAAAGTTTGGAAAATATCAAGGATTTTGATGTTGGAAACTGAACAATTAACTCAAAAAGGCTTTGTAAAAAATTATACCAACTTGTCTGTTGGGGACTTACTCTGTAAGTGCCAGAGAACTGGAAAGTACTTCTCTGTATCTGGTCATCTTCACCTTTTTGGGCTTAGTGCTCTTGCAGTTATAAATAACCACGTGACTAGGCTTTGCCATTTGTGCATGAGTCAAATAATAGCTCTCCCTTCCAGGCTACATTTTTCCCATCGAATTTATAAGCTTCAACACTTTTCTCTCCTTCAACAGCAAAATCAGAGATCACATTTCTAAGTAGAACTGTGAGAAGAAACCTGTGTAGACTTTTTGCTTTGCTTTGCTAATCCACACATGCGACATTTAGTGTCTACAGGCAGGCTGGTGCTTCCAGTCAATCTTCATCTGCAATAGAAATTTTAGAATTCTTTTTGTTTGTTTTGTTTCTTTATTAAAAGGAATTTAAAAAAAGAAGGAGATTAAGATAAAATAAGACATAACAACATAACAACACAGGTCAGAACAGAATAATTTAAGCAACATAGTGTTTCACCACAAGATAACCTGACATAGCAGTAGCTACTATAGGGTCTCTTTCCTTGAAATATTTGAGTATAACTTCATATATTGTAGCATCGAACACAAAATGACAGTGTAAAACCATTCAAGAGAACCAAGTATTACATGGTATTTAGAACCAACTAACAGAAAATGAATAATCATTTCTGTATTCTTTCCTGGTCTATAAAAAATTTATGTTTATACTATCACATATAGTAAAATACAATAAGATATAACATGATAAACTGATGGAGACAGAAGAACAAAAGCTTCATGGGACTTCAAAACAAGATAATATTAAATCAGCACTTGCTATTATATTGTCTTGTTTTCTTCAAAATAACTGTTCATACAATCACAGACAATAAAATCAAACAACCCAGAATAAAGCCATTCC